AAGAAATAAAAGCAAAATATTTCCTGCTTGAACAGAAACGTTCATTGATTTTCTTTCTTTTTAATATCACACTATCGAAGTTTTTTCAAGATTAACCATTTCAATATTTAGACCATCAATGTGATTAAGCTGTGCTGCAAGCATAAAATATTTTAATTAAAGGTATCTATAACACATCTCATTTTCAGAGCATTCACAGTAGTTGATTTCATTTGGTAATTATGCAGTAAAACGTATAAATGGTTTCTTTTCTGTGTTGTGACCAAGTGGTAAAGACGACGGAACACAGTTCAACCCAAGGTTTGACCCTGGTAAATGTGTTGGCTACATAGGAAATTGTTTGGCTGGTATATGACGTGAACAGTAACAAGCGGTAAAATTTTTTAGTACTGGTAGTTCGAAGTACCGGCGAACAGGTTATTTGGTAGTTTTTGTGAATTTTCCCATATGAAACTTGAATACGAGCCAGTTTTCCTTTAAAAAAAAAGATACTTGCGATGCCATCCTTCCTTAGGCTGGTAACCATCGAGTGCTTTTATGTAATTCAAATAATCTAACCATAAACTGGAGCCACTTTCTCTTAAAACATCCTTCACGAATACATACCTGCAATAAAGAAGTAGCTTTATTGCAGGTATATAAATTGTTCTCTTGTTTGCTAGAATTTCTATAAAATATAGGAGAAAATTAGTAAATAAAATTCTTAATGTTAAAATTTCTTCGAGAGAACTGCAGTGTAATTTTTTCTTTAAGGAATTTGATTACTCTTTTTTAGGGTTCTTTTAATTTATAGCATCATCTCTCTGTTAATTAGCTACCTTTGTTACTTTAGTTAATAACTTCTTTTCCAATTTGATACTAAGATTAAGTAGACATTGTCAGTATATTTATTAGTGATCCCCTTGAGATCTGATAAGTGGAAGGCTGACGTTGATACTCTTGTAATTACGGCATAATTAGCTACAATGTTGAAATTAATGTGCATAGCATCTCAGTTAATTATTTCTCCTTCCGCAGTTTTGTGATATTTTTAAGTGTAAAACTTGGAAACAAAATTTTCTTCTTTATCATACGTATATTGCATCAGTGAAAATTTTGTTAAAGTAAGTTTGCTGTTTTAATGAAGTTTTCGAAGAATAAAATAATTAATTATTATGTATTTTTACAAATATACTGAAGTATATTATACTTAGCATATCATATTGCTCTTTATGATTAATCTTTCAGAAATTATTTCGTCATATAATTAAAATTTATTACATAATCACGTAATGCAACTTCTCTAGTAATCCTTTCTAAGACAAGTCTTCCCCTCCCATATCTAAAATGGTCTATTTATAGTACTGAAGTTTTTTTCTTTCAAAGTAATTGCGTAAACGGAAAAATGCATTATAGTTTACTAGACTATAAAATGCCTGCTCACACACACACACAAAACGTTTTCAAAAGACAGTTTCATTTTAAAGTTTAGAATATTGGTCTTTCTGAGTAAACTATGTGCTAATTGTTTGCTACTTTCATCAAATTTCCAAATTTCATATCTGGAGAATAACGAAATAAGAAAACGTTAACCGCTTGGGAAATAAATCAAATGAATGCCTACCGAAACTTAGATTGCATATGTTTCGCAAACCCATTTTTAAATCATCATTAATTAGAAAGTCAAAGTAGTATTGAGGAAATAAAAAGAAATTTTCTCTGCCGCTACTTTCGAGTCTTCATACTGCTAGTTCATTTTAAGGTTCGAGGTGCCTTGTCCTAAAGGTGTTGGTACCTTTCTGCAAGTCTGTAAGTGTTTACCAAGACAGAAATCTTAACGGTACCCTAGCATGAAGGTCTGCGCAACCGTATGAAAATCAGTTTGTAACTTTTAAAGAGAAAGTAGTCTTCTTAAAGGCGCCGGCACTTTAATGCCGAGCACCGCTATGCAAGTAGCTGCTCTAATAGAAATAACCGAAAATCTTACTTGCATTAAGATCCTGGCATCTTTATGGAAGTTTCTTTCTTCAAGTTAAAAACTGATCTTCATAATAGAACAGATGCTTGTACACCGGGCAATCTTGGAAATACTTCTTCGAGCTTTACCAACTTGCAGAAAAGTGCTTTTTCGCTTTCTTTATGGCGGGACACCGTCAAGAAGGTATTTTTCATCTCTGTAATATGTTAAAAACTATACAATCTCCAGAATCTTACCGATATTTTGATGTTTTTACGTCGCGTATGTATACTGTTAAGTTATTTGTTGAAGCACCATTTGTTATGTAATATTTATTTTATTTCTGATTTGGGATAAAATTTTGAATCGTTCTGTTATTATCTGATGACTGTACGTGATGCTGTTAATTAATATTATTTACATTTCTTTCTGCTTATTGATTTCATTAAAAGGTAAAAGCATGATATTTTTTACAAAATAATGTTTCATATAACTGGTACTTAAGCGGAGAAATTTGCGACATGGGGAAAAAATATAAGTATAGTAATAATTGTAGTAACAATAGTAACTATCATAAATATAAATGATTATTATAGTGTTTATTCTAATAAGCCTAATAACTATAGACATGTAAACACAATAATAGCACCATATATACGGTGCTAATGAATTTTGCAACATGATACCCATATCATTAAAGAAAAATATAAACTTCTTGCATTTTGTGGCTAGTATGCTGAATTTTCGCACACATTACACCGGGAATGTTCAGTATTATATAAATCCAAAATTCGACATGTAATAATTGCGATTTTTCAAATTAAACTGTTACGAACTTGTAACATCTAAAATTGGCTGCTACTTCGCATACACCTAACGATTAACCTTTAGAAGCTAACGGTATTATTTCGGGAGTTACCACCTCTCTGAATGATTATTGAGAGCACGAGATAAAACTGGAAAGGTAAAATTAATATAAATCTTTTTCCCACGTACTTGAAATACTACAAAATAAGATGGTTTTACAGCTAAAAATAACATAAAAAAAAAAGATATTTCGACATCTTGTCAACAACTTGCTGCTAATCAATCTGCTGAGCATTTTCTACATTACAAATTTCAACAAAACACTGTCTGAAACTACAACGCTGCCGGATTGAATGGAAAAATACAACCAGCTTCTGCTCTTCCCGAGCGTGACTACAGTCTGTTGCTGTAGATTAGGCTCTTCGGGATAATTTTTTACCACTCGTTTTGCCTCGTAACCATAATAATGACAACAACAGCAAATGATCGAGTTCCTTTAACGTTTTCTCTATATTTTATTTTTATTTAATATTGTTTCGCTTCGTGGAAAATGCATAAATGATGACTGACTGAAGCTACAGTCTCGAACAACATGGACAAAATAACTGCTGTTTGGTAATAACGTTACACGTTACGATCGAAAATGAGGAAGAATGAAAAGACGTTGAAGTGCCTATTTTAAGGTAACATGTTGAAACGTAAGACGTTCACCTCTTATTCTGTCTTCAACAGAGCAGTTAGAAGGAGGTCTACCATTCTTCAGCTTCAAAAAATCAGGTGCAGATACTCTCTCTCTATATGTACATATATGTATTCAGTTAATGCATATATATATATACATTAACTGCAGTTAAAAAATTACAAAAATAGCGAGATTTAGTGATACAGCTCTATTTGTCAAATTCCAAAATTTTTTGAATAAATATTTGAAAGTTTGGAAAATCGTAAAGTTGACCAGTTTACGCAACGGAAACATAAAATAATGCGTGAAGAGGTAAATAGCGAAAGCAGGTGTATTTCGGCTTTCAATTCAAACTAAAAGGTTTAATAAAACTGGTGGTTATGCAGTCCTTGAGAAACTTGGACCTTGATAAGAGCAGATCTTCTGACAAAACATTCTGGAAATCATTTTACTGTTGAAAGATGCTGTTTGTTTTAGTCATTTTAGAGAGACACAAACACTTCTTTTTTACGTATAATAAATACTCTGATTACAGACTGAATGCATGGCCCATTCGAAATGATCAAAAGAGTAATCGTACACCAGTTACACTTAGCAGCGGATTTAAACCGAATTAAAAAAATTTCATCCATCCTTCAGGGTCTCTAAGGGCTGAGCGGTAAAACTATTAACCACAAATTTGATATAAGTGCAAATCGCGGTTTACAGAGTGATTGCATAGGAATTTTCGTGTTTTTACCCATAGGTAACGTGAATACGAGCCATTTCCTATAAAAGCCTGCCTTTCTTTTAAAATAAAAATGATATAAATTTTTCACCAGCTTAATTTTAATTTGAAAGTAGCATTTGTTGTTTTTTTATTCGAAAATTTATTTTATTTTTTATTTTATTTTATTTATTTATTTATTTTATTTTTGATTTACGCCAAAATTGTACTGACTTTTTAATTTTTTTTTAATCTCGTAATATATGATTGAGGAAGCTTCGATTCTCCCCCCCCTTTTTCCTCAAATTCTTATTTGATGAAACAACTGTTATTCACCGTCAAATGTGTTATCCGATTCATTTTCAGAACTAGTCTGTTCAGTCTCTTCATCTGATTAAGCGAAGATTTCTACAAATATTTCTTTAACCGTAATTTTCCTTCGAATTTCATATGCTATTTTAAAATTTCAGAAATCAGATTTTTCATTCAAATGTCTGCTATATAATTCTGAAACAATATCCGGATATCCGGACCAGACTATATATATATAATAAACTTAAAGCATTTAAAGTTAAAAGTAAATTAGAGTCAAAGCAAGGCGATTCCTCAACAATATTAATAATTGCATCCTTATAAAGCGATTAAACATAAAATAAAAACATTTCGAAATAAAAATTATCATAGTAATACAACCACGAAAAGTAAAAATGCGAAAAGGGAAAATATATACAAGATGATAAAAATATAACAGTTAATCTCCCTTTATTGAAACTTTAATTCAGAACTCATGAGGGGAAAATGAATTAAAGTTTCATAAAAGTTCATTCATTGTAAGAAACTGAAAGTACACAAATCTACTATATTCGACGATGGAGCGCTGCTTCGGAGACGAAGAAAATTTTGGTTTCACTCCGAGTGGTAAGGATGCTTCATAAATATAAATTCAAACTTTTTATATTATATTCATAGCTTAGAAAGTCCAATTAATAAAATTTTTACTATGCTTTAGGAAGTTAAATGCAGAAAGTTCCTTAACTTGTAGAGTTCACGGGAATATTTTAGAATGAATTTATTAACGTAAATCACATTTTCATTGTCTAATTCTTAGCGATTTCGATCTGATTTCTAGCAAATTTAGGAATAAACTAAAAATAAAAGTTGTCTGTTTTGACAACTTATGTCTCCGTATTGGGTGAAATTGCACTCAATATTAACGTTATTAGCTGGCTATGTAAAATAGTAGTCACGAATATGCGAGTTTTCATGAAAAGGTGTAGAACAATTTTTGTTTAATTTGTCAAAAGGTTATGAACATTTTACTAATTGGACAATTTTGCTCTAACATTAGATTTTATTGCTGCAAAACCTTCTTACACTTAGTGTTCAAAATATTTTCATAACATATTGTATACTCTGTTTTGGGAAACTTTTTAATTCAGAGTATTTTCCTAAAAATAATGTGTAAGGAAATATAGTCTGTAGTTAAATTTTTTCGAGCATCCTGTGTTTTTTTATAACAGTACTCCTGATAACATTTTTATGCCAAACAGCATTTAAAATAAAATATATTGCTGCAGTCTATATTGTAGTGCTATGCACTACCACAAAATAAAGCGCAAAGTATTAGCGAGGAAACGGTTTTAAAATCTTCTAGTTGTCATTCTATCATTTTTTTTTTTTTAAATTCGCATTTGGTATGTAATATCATAGGAAATGCCTCACATCTCTTTTCGGGATATAGAACTAGAATGCGTGTTCTAGTATCCCGTGTAAAGAGCCTTGTATCCTTCCAAAGCTCTTGTTATTTTATCCTTTTCTATATTCAGAAAAAAAGTATATTGTAAAATGTTGAATAGAATTTGTGTTTGTAAATGTAGACATTTTGTGCTCGCGAAAAATGATTTTCCTTCCGTCCATTCGTATTATTCGTGATAAGAAGCACTCAAATCAAATTCCGTATTTCTCGTTTATTGACACATTTCATATTCAGAGAAAAGGAAATTGTTGCAGAAATATGTGCCGTTCGTTTTTTATATATTTCTTTTGCAGTTTGAGAAAATTTTGTCCTTAGTTTCTGCGAAAAACTTTCCCGTGGTTTTATCTTTTCTGTTTTATACAGAGAACAACATGGTCCGTTATGTAATTTTATATCTATTCTCTCTTTTATGTAACTAAAATAGAGATCACCTCCATTACCGATTTTTTTTCTAGATTCAGATGTACAGAATTTTGATGAAAAATGAAATGAAATACGTCCATATTTATGTCTAACAAACTTAACAAAATAATGAGAAAAGCCTTTAATTTTAATATCTTTTAGAATCTAAATTAGATTTTTTAATTTAGGAAGCTGCTTTTTCTATTCTCAAAATAATGATCCAAAAATATTTGGTAAGAAACATATAATTACTATGCGATAGTTCTGAAATATTTAGTTGTCAAATGACTCATACGTATATGCTGGTAGCACACAAACTTACATTGCCAAAATTAATTTTGCTCGATAAAGTTTTTCTGCTTAATTTTAAAACCGACCAAATTTATTCTGTCGGAATTCCTTCTGCTAACTAAGTAGTCTAATTAACCATAATTTATATTTTTATTTTAATATTTTAATTATTAGCTTTTCCTTAGCAAGATATTTTTCTGCAGCTTCTTTCTAAGTGAAAGCATTACTTGCATTATGCTACTGTATTCGGATATGTTTGGGAATGTGTGTATTTTAACTTATGTGAATCTTTGATGTTCATATAATACTATTTCTGCTACGTATGAAGAATAAATAGTATGTATTACGACACTTCAGATTTTTTCCACGTGTATCTACTATCTGTATCTTGTTATCTAGGTAGCAAGTCCGAAGTTTAACTGTTTCGCTACGTAGTCGACCTGTTCTACCTTTGGCTGCCAAATGTGACCACAGCCCGAAAACTATAACAGTTTAGCACTAGTTTGGGCTTTGTCCTGACAGTTCTTTTACTCGTAACCATCAAAGGATAGAGGAGCTTATCAACTAAAATGGTTCAATTAATAGTGTTATCTAATTCAATAGAACTGCAACCCTGTGGGAACTCTCTTTGTGTACGACCAGGTGATAGGAATTACAAAGAATCGGACAAAGTTAAAAAAACACAAAAATGTTTGTGATGTGTATAATATGTGCGGTGCTTTAATTGCATTGCTGATATTTAACATCAAGTACAAGCAGATATATAACCTGTATACGAAATTATCATATTATATACTACTTGGCATATATTAACATGCTACTTGTCTTACTGCTAGATTTATATGTGTACTTGATTAACACATAATACTGTTTTCCTAATTTACATGCTTTCTTACATAACTTACATAATTTTCCAATATATTGGGTCATCCAGACATTTCTACAGTTTTTGAAATCACATGCATTTTCTTCTAATTATTTTGTTTGCTTATAAGGGATGATCTTGATTGAACAGGATATTTAAATATGGTCTTTTCAGCTCATATTGCTTAGTGTAATTTATTGTAATATATTGTGTAATTTTTCCCCCATTATAGTGCTAAGAATGAAGACTCACAAGTTCATTTTCATAATGCTGTGCTCTTTTATTTTTTAAAAAAAGGAAAATAGTAGTCGCATTGCTTCTAAAATTTGTGCTACATACGCACAAAGTGCTGTTTCTGATGGCACAGTTTGAAGGCGGTTCCAGAAATTTAAGCATGGAAATTTCAGCTTCGAAAATGATACTGTTCTGGGATGATCATCCAGTTTAAAGAAAGGACCTATTAAAAGGAGCAATCGCGGAATGTTCACGTTATACAGTTTAGGAACTATCAAACAATTTAAATATTCTAAGAAGTACAGGACATGACCATTTGAAGAAGGTATGGTTTGCAAACTGCTACGTGGTATAGAAGAGAATATGCTTGCTCGAGTTTTGGCATGTGATTGTGTGCTGAAAATAAATAAAGAAGTTATTTTTAAATGGGTTTATTACTGAGATGAGAAGTGGATACTATACAATAATGCTACAGGACAATGATCATGGTATAAGCCAGGAGAACCTCCTTTAGTACCATCGAAAATGAGTTGCATTAAAAAATTGCTTTGAGTATGATGGGAATTATTAAAAAATAGTGTTCTCGAATGGCACTTTTAAAAGCAGAAATCGAAGCAAAGCGCTCAGAACTGACCAGTTTTCGAAGTGCTGTCATCCAAAATGACAGTTCTTGACCCCACATTTCGATGAATGTCAGACAAAAATTTACTCAGTATAACTGAGATGTTTTGTATCATCTCTCATATTCACTAGACCGCGCCATCTCGAATTTTCACCTCTTCATGTCACTTGAAAATTCTATAAATGGCCTGGATTTCATTCCTTTGAAGAGTGTCAAACGGCACCTCTTTAACGTCATAACAAATAAAAATTAACAACTTTTTTATAAAAGGAATTTTTCAGCTGCCAGAAAGATGACAAGACTTAGAACAAAATAGTACTTATGTTTCAATGAAAATTTGCTTTTGTTTTTTGTATCACTTCATCTGTATTTGTCAATTAGCAATATTGGAGTACAATACATAAATCACCCAGTTGTGGCTGAGTGGCTAAGACTGCTTAATATTGGGAATTCGCCTCGGGTTCAATTCCAGGCTAACGGGCTGGCTTTATGATTGATTTTCGTCGTTTTCCCCATGTTTAAAGTGAATATGAACGCGCTTACCTTAGAACTCCAAAACGGCATCCCTCCTGGTACGCAGATAGCTTTCATGTGCTTTCCCATATTCAAATAAACTAACCAATACATAAGTCTGCAATATGGCCAGAGTTAAAAATTCCCTTCTTTTTTTATGATTTTTCACGAAATTGATGCCTTGGTAAATGAAAGGTATGTTTGCTATTTGACATTATATCTATTAAAAGCTGCATTTTATCATTAGCGTGAAATAAAAAAATCACGGTGAAGATTTCCCTGCACGGCTAAAATAAAAATAAATAAACGAAATGCGTTTTCAAAAGATGTAAAAATTACATAAAAACAGGTATCTTAATTATATATATATTGTTGCGTTATTTTCTGACACCAGTTGTTACGTTATATTCTTCCTCCGCTTTCATACGGGGTTCGTGTGGATTTGGAATGAATAACGACGACTTTTGATAAAGTATCGAAAGACTTCATCAAGTTCATATTTGTATTTAGCCAATGTTAATCAGAACAGCTCCAAAGTCACTTTTTACAGTCGTCGAAGATCTACTATAAAGACGCTGGAACAATCAGCGACACAGCCTTCACACTGTCAGGCAATAACGGTGGAGACAGCTTCACTGCAAAGAACCAGAGTACAGCTCCCCGACTCTGTTCGGTCGTTCTCGGAAATCCACGTACTCTCGAAACTCTCCACGCTACAACTCGCATTGCACTCGACAGCACATACAGCACAGCTCCTGACTCTTCGGTTCAGTCGTTCCCGGAGCTTAACACGCTCTCTCGACGATGCACTAACCGCGATACACTACGAGACTCTTTCGGTGCACTCGACGACCCCCTCGGCACTCGCTGCCCGGCTGTCAACTCGATCGACTCCGCAGGGATCGACTCGCTAGGCAAGACACCAACTCGATACTAACTGACTGCGAAGGTTTATATAGCTTTCGGCTTGTGTTCGAAAACATTCTGGGCTAAACCGGTAAGAATTCGTTCCAGAAAGTTCTTCATCCGTCCATGGTATATCGCCAATTTTGTCGCCAAATGGGCGATTTCTCGCCAAATGTAGCAACTATGTCTTTCCTTGCCATTTTATATCAACCGTAAACTTTCTTTGCGGGGAAGCCATCTCACCGCGCCTGTATATTTCGTAACAATATATATAGCTTATATTTATTTGTAACGTAATATGATACTTGCTAGTTAACTGTTAAAAACAA